ACTATTTTTTTTTAGATTTACAGAAATAAGCCAAGGAATATATATTACATAGTGTTTCTATTCAGCAATGTTATTACTTATTAGGCACCTTACTAGGTGAATTAGGTACGTATAAGCAGTACACGTAGGGCATTGGGGAAAATATGGAGACTCAGTTTCAAGCTAACGGCAAGCTGAGGTTGCCAACAGACAAATCAGCCATCCCCTGAAAAAATTACAATACAGGGAATGTGCACTTAACAGATTGGCCATAATTCGTACTTATTCTTTAATAGAGGACAAACTTGCGGTGCATACCTACATGCATCTTAGTTCTTAGAGGTAGTATTTACCACATAATTACTGGAATATAACCGGAAAACATTAGTTACTTAGGCACCTAAACTATGATATTTCTAGAGAATTTGAAAAAGGCAGGATGTTAGTCAGTAGGGATGCCTGCCCGCCGCTTGTCTTATACGTTATCCCTGTGCTGACCTGTACGTATGTGTTGATGCTATTTGCTAGCTCGTATTTGTGGCTGATAGCCTGAAGGTTGGATCCATCTCAAAAACCTGCAAGTTGAAGTCTTCCATTACTGCATGCACTTCTTTTTTTCACTTCCCAGGTCCTCTACCTGTCTTACTGACATTGTGACACTATAGGAGATGCTTAAAGAAATCAACATAGAATAACATTAACAAACATCTAGTAGGCCATCACGAGAACTAGATGCATATCATATTAACTAAGTGATGTAGGTGACATGTTTGTCTCTTAAGGAAAGCAGGTGACGGATGAGTTTTGTGCCCGTTAAGTACCTACCTAAGTATCTGGCAGTTGGAAAACAGGTATGCGGGTTTCATTTCAACCAATTAAGATGCAGCTTGGTAACTGTACTATTATACTAGCGCAGATGATACATAGAGCATGACAAAGGCGACCTGCTTCACAGCGGGCTGCATAGCAGTAACGTAACGGCTGAGTCACTTGTAATTCGTGCTAAGCCACATCAGCCCTGGTAAAAATAAGTGTGAATAAGTGCTATCAGGTCTGCGAGCCTGCTGGTGGTGGGTACTACAGGAGGTACATGTACATACTCAGTCTCTTTTCCTGCATGTCTCCTTTTATGTACTTGTGTTAGGGGCCTCTCTGTCCCGACGCGGATCCCATCCCAACCTGAAAAAGAAAAATACGAACGACCGCCCTTTCTTCATCTTTCCCCTTAGAACACCTACACCTGTTTTCACCCATCGCAAGACTTCCCCCTATGTCTTCGAGCACTGGGTGATTGATTCATCAAATCGCTCGATACCCTTCCCTCTTTTATTACTTATTCTTGCAGTATTGGTCTCACCTGCAGACCGGCCGCTTTCACTTTAATACTTTATCGTGTGGGGGGGAAACCTTGATTCTCGCGTGGCCCCTGGATCTTGCATTGTTCGTCGCAGTGTTGAGGAATCAACACAACACCGAGCATCGGAAAACAAATACTAAATAATATAAATTAAACGGGTTGCGACCTTGTTGTTTAAGACTGGCTGGTGTAGCCGATAGTCAAAATGGCTTACAACGGTGGTCACGGTGACGACTACGACGGGCACCGTCTTCAAGACATGCCTGCTAGCAGCACGGTAAAGTTTTAACCTTAACCATCGCTTTGGGTTCGTCCATCTGCAAGGTCACACAGCTAATTTGTACCTCGTCGCATACAGTATCATCTACCTCCCCTTGAGCAGGACGATGATGAATCACAGCGTCATCTCCTAGGACAGACTCCTGGTCTTCATTACGAACAGGATCGGCTGGGTACCAATACTCCTCCCGCACGCCCAGTCTCGGCTTACAGTCTTACCGAGTCGTACGCTACAACCGCTCCTCCCCCTACACAGTCGCCAGCACCTCAATATCCCGGTGAGTTTGCAGGTGGCTATGGTGGGCATCAGCTTGAGGATACCGGCTTCGGATATGGCAGACCTGCATCTACTGTCGACAGCGATGAGGGTTGGCTACGTCGTCAGCAACCAGGCGGTGCTGGCGGTGGTTTAAAGCGTTATGCTACCCGAAGGGTTAAACTAGTTCAAGGGTCCGTTCTCAGCGCCGATTATCCCGTACCCAGTGCTATCAAGAACGCTGTACAGGCCAAGTACCGGGATACTGAGAGCGGCAGCGGCGAGTTTCTCAACATGCGATACACTGCTGCTACCTGCGACCCGAACGATTTTACTCTGAAAAACGGTTACGATCTTCGGCCTCGAATGTATAACAGACACACAGAGCTTCTGATCGCTATTACTTACTACAACGAAGACAAGCAACTTTTTTCGCGAACACTTCACGGTGTTATGCAGAATGTTCGCGACATCGTCAACCTGAAGAAATCTACTTTCTGGAATAAGGGCGGCCCTGCCTGGCAAAAGATTGTAGTCTGTTTTGTTTTCGATGGTATTGACAAGGCAGACAAGGAAACACTAGACGTCTTGGCCACCATTGGTGTCTTCCAGGATGGTGTCGTGAAAAAGGAGGTCAATGGCAAAGAGACTGTTGCTCATGTCTTCGAGTACACTACTCAGCTGTCTGTTACGCCAAACCAACAGCTCATTAGACCAGTGGACGACAGCCCCCAGACCTTGCCGCCCGTCCAGATGATTTTCTGTCTAAAGCAGAAGAACACCAAGAAGATCAACTCTCATCGTTGGTTATTTAATGCATTTGGCAGGATCTTGAACCCTGAAGTGTGCATTCTTCTTGATGCTGGTACCAAACCGGGACCCAAGTCGCTCCTTGCGCTTTGGGAAGGCTTTTACAACGACAAGGATCTTGGTGGAGCTTGTGGTGAAATCCACGCTATGTTAGGCAAAGGCGGCAAGAAGTTGATGAACCCTCTTGTCGCCGTCCAGAATTTCGAGTACAAGATCTCTAATATTTTGGACAAGCCTCTAGAAAGCTCTTTCGGCTACGTGTCTGTGTTGCCTGGTGCCTTCTCGGCATACCGATTCCGAGCTATCATGGGTCGACCTCTGGACCAATACTTCCACGGTGACCATACTCTTTCCAAGATTCTCGGCCCCAAGGGTATCGAAGGCATGAACATCTTCAAGAAGAACATGTTCTTGGCCGAAGATCGTATCTTGTGTTTCGAGCTTGTCGCCAAAGCTGGGTCTAAATGGCATCTGTCGTATATCAAAGCTGCCAAGGGTGAGACTGATGTTCCTGAAGGTGCTCCCGAATTCATCAGTCAGCGACGACGTTGGCTCAACGGTTCGTTCGCCGCCTCGCTTTACTCGCTGATGCACTTCGGTCGTATGTACAAGAGTGGTCATAACATCGTCCGCATGTTCTTCTTGCACATTCAGCTTATCTACAACATCGCAAACGTATTGTTCACCTGGTTTAGTTTGGCATCGTATTACCTGACAACAACGGTTCTTATGGATTTGGTCGGAGCACACACGGAAGCCAGTTCGACTTCTGCTGAGAAACACGGATGGCCTTTCGGTGATACTGCTACCCCTATTGTCAACATCATCCTCGAGTACCTGTACATTGCCTTCCTGATTCTTCAGTTTATCCTGGCGCTTGGTAATCGTCCCAAGGGTTCCAAGTGGTCATACATTGCGTCGTTTGGCTTGTTCGGATTTATTCAGATCTACGTCCTCATCTTGTCTGGTTATCTTGTCGTAAATGCTTTCCAGCCGCAAAATTTGCCCTCGGGCGAAAGTGCTGGCGATGCTCTCAAGGATATGTTTACGGGCCAATCTGAGGTGGCTATTATTATCCTGGCGTTACTTGCGACATTTGGTTTGTACTTCATCGCATCGTTCATGTACCTGGACCCGTGGCACATGTTCCACTCGTTCCCGCAGTACCTGGTCCTCATGTCGACGTACATCAACATTCTGATGGTTTACGCTTTCAACAACTGGCACGATGTCTCATGGGGTACCAAGGGTTCGGATAAAGCCGAAGCCTTACCAAAGGCTCAGGTTGTGAAGGATGAAAAGGGTGAAGCCGCCATTGAAGAAATCGACAAGCCCCAGGAGGATATCGACAGCCAGTTTGAGCAGACAGTCAAGCGTGCTTTGGCTCCCTTCAAGCCGGAGCCTGAGGATGACAGCAAGGATCTTGAGGACTCGTACAAGTCCTTCCGAACATCGCTAGTCGTTGCGTGGTTGTTCTCGAACTGCGCTCTTATCGTGGGTGTAACTAGTGACAAGCTATCCACATTCGGTGTTGGGGTAAGTTTGATTCGTTAGTTGAAATAGATGGCGAAGAGTTTTATGCTAACTGAATCATAGGGTACTACGTCAGACCGAACGGCGCAATTCTTCAAGTTCCTTCTTATCGCCACCGCAGCCATGTCCCTCGTCCGTTTCATCGGATGTTGCTGGTTCTTGGGCCGAACCGGAATCATGTGCTGCTTCTCCAGACGGTAAAGCGGCTGAGACTCAGAGCGTAATTAGGTCTTTTGAGATTTATACGCCTAGGATATGTACAAATGTAGCCTATCTCCAGGACCTGGCGTCAAACACTTTTTCTATGCTGGATAGACGGGCGATATGACTCGGTTTGCAAGATAGGGTATAGGGGGATTCAGAAAAGTTGCGGTTACGCCAGTGGACCGTTAACCGTGTGTCATTGTTTGGGCGTTATTGACATTCTCCTTTTATATATACCTAATGTCTCTAAACTGAATAGTTAGGTCAGTTGCTTACGAACCATTCTAGCAAATCGATGAGTTTTTATGGCATTCATGAGATGATTTCAAGTCTGATTAATTATATGCTTTATGCTTTCGAGTATGAGTTGTGTATTGATATGTTTTATCCTTGAGAATATCGAAGTTATGCCATGGCATGTATGAATATGTGCTTAAGCCTTAAGGTACCTCCTAATAAAGTGCCTCCTTAGGTGGTACCTTAGTGGTACTTGGGTGAGCTACCCCACTATACCGCGTAAAGTTGTACCTAGGTACCTATAGCTTGTGGCCTGCCATTGAAAATAACCATTGAAAATAACGACTTCACCCCGCGTTGAAATAAATAATTTAACCTTCTATCTAGATTATCTAGATTATCTAGATTTCAACTCGAAATCGTTTACGATATTGAAGAGTCTCTAAGGACCCCTAGTTGACTTCCTAAGATTAAACCACGACCGCCAAATAAATTGAGACGATATCCTCCCTTCAAACTATCATGGAGTCCTTAGAGGCTATTCAGGCTCGGCATCGTAAAGAACAGCGCGAATTGCAAGCGCGAATCACGAACAAGAAGAAGAATGCGACAAAAAAGACGCGGAAGGGTGTCAACGATGAATGCGCCGAGCTTGAGAGGCAGTTAAAAGGGAAACAGGAACAAGAGATTGCTGCGATAAACGGAGATGGCGACGGCGACAGCGAGGGACGTGCAACGGGCGAAATAGAGGAACAAGAACAACAAGAACAACAAGAAGCTTTGCAAGAACAAAATCTCAACAGAGGCGCGACGAATGGGATAACAGAGCAATTAAAAGATATAACCATCTCCCCGCCACCAGAATCCGACCCGGCGACACAACAACAGCAGCCCAAGAAGCGGAACCGCCAAAAGGAGCGGATGGCGCGGAGGGCAGCAGAACAAGAAGCAGCCACCATAGCCGCCGAGCAAGAGGCAGCCAACATGACAGACCACCGGAAAATCGAGAAGACATACCTGCTCAAAGAATTCAAGGCTAACAACCTAGTCGAGAAGGAGATACAGCCAGACGGGCACTGTCTATTCTCCGCCATAGCAGACCAGCTACAAACGCGAGACATACCACTCGGCCCGGACACAGAGACAAAAGGCAAGCCGGCGTACAGAGTAGTACGGCAGGCAGCAACGGACTACATGGAAGCGCACGCGGACGACTTCGCGCCGTTCCTGGAGGAGCCGCTGGACACGTACGTGCCGAAGATCCGGGACACAGCGGAGTGGGGAGGGCAACTTGAGTTATCGGCATTGGCGAACGCGTACGATGTCGAGATTAAGGTGCTGCAGGACGGGCGGACGGAGACCATCGAGCCGAGTACGGATAAGGGGGGGGGTGCGGAGAGGCAGAGGATATGGCTGGCGTATTATCGCCATGGGTACGGCCTTGGGGAGCATTATAATTCGCTGCGGAAGGTGGATTAGAATATCAGAAAAGAAAAAACATAGAAAAATAATAAAATAATAAAATAGAAGAGAACTTGGGGTTCTGGGCTAGTTTCTCCCGAGAGTACGTGGCTACGGTATACATCTACCTCGGCATGATCCTCGGCATGATTAAACTTATTCGTGTTGAAGTACGTAGGCCGCACGATTTATATCCCCCAAAAACGTCCACCGAGGGAGATTCTGCTATGTTTTATACGCTGTGAAATATAGATTCTGTTTTCTCCTCAAACGCACGCCTTCGCGGAGAATGAAATGTCTTCCATCGAAGGCTTCCTAGTAACAGCTTGAATTTAGATAGCCTTTTGTCGTCGTGAACTAACCAAAGTACGATAGCTGATATCGTCCAGGTGGCCAGCGCTATCAGGACTGTGGAAATTAGGAACGAAGATTGCCCTAGTCCAGCATCGTCGTAGGCGAATATGCCCATGCTAAATAAAGACTTGGGATGATATAATTAGATAAGAAGTTATTTCGCGTAGGAGGTGATGGGGGAACGTACAGAAACGTAGCTTAGGGGAAGATAGAATATGGTGACGATTGTGAATACTAGAATGTACTGGTTCAAGATCGTTGCTCGTGATGCCTCGCGCACTGAAGTAGCACTGAAGAGCTGAGTACATAATCTTATTAGCGAACTCTAAGATATATATCGACCTTAGACATGTACTCACGCCGTCTCTAAAACTTTTGATCTCTTCTTCCTTCTTTTCTATACGATCTATGAGGGACTTTGAAGAGGCGCCGTGAATTGATATAACCTTCTCCCACGCCTCGTCGATCTCTTTCATGATCATGAAAAAGTTTGGGGATTCGCTGCCGGAGCTCGAACCAATAGAGCCACGGCGAGTTCCGCTAGATTGGATATTCGCATCAAAGTCTTGCTTGAGCTGTTGGAGCTCCCGTCCACTCTCCTGAATCCATTCGGAAAATATCCTCAGCGCCTGGAGAACTGTGAAGTAAAGCCGAGACCTCTCGAAGGTGCTATCAAACATCATGGTAGCGCCGTCGCGTTTCGGGTCAAATAACTCATCGATCTGACTACGTCAGCGAGGCCTTAAAAGGGGAATATTTAATAGGCTATTACCTCTACACCAACTAACTTATCAATTTCATTCAGCGTCTCAACCCACTTACGCTTCCATATAGGGAAGATGGAAAGTAGAACTTTAAGATATACGGCAATTCCCGTAAATCTTCCTTGACTGGGCATGTCCAGCGGTTGTTCGCTTTCCATGAAGAGGCGCCGGTACTCGGAGTCGCTAAGGTAAAAGATGGTATATGGTGGCATATCTGCCGTGTGAGAAGTTACTATCGCAAGAGAAAACCTCTCCTCGATGATTCCGATGCTATCTACGCCGTCTAGGGAGGCAAGCACGCCGGAGACGCGGGAAGGACGAAGTCCATTTTTTGGCCAAAGTTTGTTGGTACTGGGTAAGTACTTCTTCCCCGCCGATAGAACCCGGAGGTGGAAATGAATATGAATCCAGCTGGATGACAGCCAGACTTCGCTGGTTTGCATGAACCGCGGCCAGTTAGACGTGTGACGGCTCAGGAAGCGCAATGCCTTCTTGGTTCCTAGTATCCCTTGCCTAGTGTCGCCAGCAACACTCATCTGAGATAGAGCGAGGTATATGCAAGCGAAGCTAAGGAGCCGTCGGGTGTGGAACACTTGCCTTGATTTACCGAATTAGATGTGGCTATTCGTCGGGTTTCGAAGAAGGTGACTTACCATATTCGTCCGAAAACTTTCCCATCCCAAGGACAAGATCGATCAACATGCAACCTATCATCGTCAGGCTAGTATTCCTTGTCAGCTATACGCGTCTTGCAGGGCTAGGGTTCAATGTCACCTGGAGTTGACGCAAAAGCGAGCGTTTCCCGCTCAGCCAGGGTTCTCGAGAAAAATGAGCGCCATAGGAATCGTAACCTGACTGGTATAACAAAGCTTTCGTGAAGCCCGGACAATTTAGGAAGATAACAGAATCTGCAAACTCGTCTGTTTCGAACGGTACCCCAACTTCATCCAAGTTCCGTATCGACCTCCCTTGATATAACCAATGTTTTTTAATCAGGGACGCGACTCGGGTGAGCTTCAAGGCGAGAAGCGGTTCTCCGGTCTAGTCAATGTGTTTCCATGGCACTTCTATCATCTGCGCGTCCTCACTAGGATCTTGAATTACCAAGGTGGTTTCGCCGCAACCTTCCTGCTCCCAGCCGTGTGCATGGATTAGTTCGATCGGATCATATGATCCGGATAGAACATGTGGAAGGTTGTATCTTGCTAAGAACATATCACATAACCGGACCGAGTCTGGATGCAACGTATTCTGAACGTACTTCTGCAGAGATGAAGGGCTGAATTTGATAGGGTTTGGCCGGGAATGGTTGACATGGACATGAGAGAACGGGAATGTTAAGCTTCCTTGTTTATCATGCGTTCTATGAAGTAAAGTTAGAAGCCGATCCTGGTTTACTGCCGTTTCTGAAAGTCGCTGGAGGATGCTTTCGAGGTGGTGACCTCCGACCCCTTGCTCTTCGGGTGATATACATTTTGAATAAAAACGGTCTTTGCTTGATGACTGATTAGATGAGTTTGGCCTTTTCCTGTTGAGATTTATATGATAACGTTTGTATAGTCTGGAAGACCGACGAGTGTAATTCCCGACTTGAGAGCGGTTCCGCTCTGTAGTAGATATTGAAAGAGAATGGTCTAGTGCTCGGGCGTGTGACCTGGTATTCGCAAGGCTCTGAAAACTGCCTTGACTAGCAAGGGTAGGTTGAGTAGATAGTGAGGTTTCTAGGTTCTCACTTATATCATCCGCGTTGTTCAGGGCAATTAACTTATACATAGCTGGGTTGTTAATATTAAGGTCTCTAACATCAGTTTGTAAAGTGTAAAATCGTGTTAAATCGGTAAAAGAGAGTTGCATTTATGAACATGTCCTAGGACCTATATTATGTCCTACTTCACTTTTACCAAGAATTATCCTCTTCGATTCGTGGATGCATCTGCGCCTCATTGACACCGAGCTGGCTGGATTGTCCAGTCAGACTCATGCTTAGCCGCCATCAGGGGCACTGCAGAACATCTCCAAGGTTGCATTTGGGTCGACGCAATAAGTAATTGATCCTCGAGGTCATGATATACATGGGGTGTTAATGGTGTTAATGATGAAGTAGGTGATAGCGCCACAGGCTTAAGTAGGTACCTACCTAGGTACCCAGGTACCGTAGGATAAAAGTGTGCACTGCCACATCTCTTCTCATTTGCCGAGGCGGGCCGCGCCGGGGTTAATGGGGTTATGTAATGGGCAGCTGTTATCGGGGAACTAGACTTTGATCTAATCTCACTCCAGCTTCTATGATAGTATGATCAATCGATGCTACTAATGCTGTAAATGTAAATTTGTATTTCTAATCCATTTGCGGCTTCGGTCGGCATCTGGCCCTTAATAATCAATTCTAGAGCCTAGAGCCCCCCACAAAGGAGTAGGCAAACTAGGGGGGGAAAAGAAAAAGAAGAGAGGAAAAAAAAAAAACACTAATAATAAGTTCATAATAAGACGAACCACTCAAATATATATCTTGTCAGCTTGGTGCCAATCTGACTTCGCTTCTTTCAACACTCCCACGTCTCCTGCAATTATTTTACGCATCAAGAAACAAGGGATTGCCGCTAAGAGCTCTAGATCTAGAGAAAAAGCGTCAGTCGGACCAGTGGTATGATTGAGGAATTGCGTGCTTCGATGCGCAGTTGACAACACCGTACCACCCACCAGCTTGCATCTATATTCCTATTCGTGATTATGGCTTCGAAAGCCTGACTCTAATTCGTGGGGGTTACAATCTGAAGGAAAAGAGGCGTATTTTATGACAGCACTGTAAGAGCCGGCTGTCGACGCCGCTCAAAAAGCCTGTCTCCTTTCACGATACGGCCAGTCCGTAATACGGATAGGGTAGGCGATACAACTAGAGCTTGCGGTAGAGCAAATTTGGAAGTTTAAGATTAAATACTAACGGCCCTCGAAGTTGCCAGTTGATTATCCATTCCTATTAATTATCTTTATCTTAAAAGTCCTGTTCTCCTCCCCAAGCAAACATCATCACTTAGCATCTCGTCGATAAATATACCGACGTATCTATCCGAGCTCTGGAACTTATCAAAGAAGGAATACTACTTTTATCTCATCAGGCCATACAGCGGCGGATTTTCAACGGCAAATATGGGTTTACTGTACGTATTTCCTTGATCGATTGATACACGGGGACCGATCTAGGGACCGATCTAGTTATGAGGTCATTAACATCGATTTATAGAGCTTTAGGAACGGCTCTTGATTGGCCGGACGCACAGCAGCATGCGCATCAGGTTAGGGAATGGGGCATCAAGGTAGTTCCTTATCACCGCAGCCCCTGCTACTGTTCTGAAAACTAGCTGACCTATCGTAGCAACTCCTAGAGATTTGGAATAAGGCTAAGCATAAGGAACGAGATGCTATGTTGTGGGGTGATGAGGTACCTCTTGCACCATGTTGTGCCACTAAGAAGGTAGTCCTGTTAACGACTCCGTAGATAGAGTACTTGGTCGTGAAATATTCTAAGGATGATCCTAAAGTTCTCCTTTCGCTTCGGCAGGCCGATATCCTCAAAGCCTTGGCGGCCGATGAAGAACTCTCCGATAAAGGCGGATGCGTTCCGGCACTACAGGAACTCGAGTCGCAGAGATCGAATCCGTTACCGGTGTTCCACCCTGAATTTGGTAGATTTATGCTTGAGGCTACTCCAGGCAAGCCATGGGGCATCGGATTCAAGGAACTTTTGGGCGTCGAGCCCGATATGAAAAACAGGTATTCTCATCTTGTACTTTGCGCGTCGCGTTCTTACTCTAAGCTAACTAGATCCTAGGAGGAAGATAGCCAAAGAACACATGCAGGCTGAAGAATATCCTATTACACTCACAACATTCCCTCGCCTAGGTGTTCCGGGTGTCTTTACGGATCCTTACTACCCACCATCCGGGCCAAAGCTGCGGTCACAATTCGTGCCAGACGAGATTGCTAATCCGCATATTCGGTTTCCAACGCTAGCGGCGAATATCCGCTGGAGGCGCGGGCGGAAGGTTCAGGTGAACGTTCCAGTCTTCCACGATCAAAAGACGCCAATTCCTTGGAAGGATCCTACGGTGAACTATGATCTGCACAACTGGCCGGAGGACGACGATGTGAGAAACGGTGCAGCCCCGGACAATTTTATCCACATGGACGCTATGGCATTTGGAATGGGAAGCTGCTGCTTACAGATTACGTTCCAGGCGAAGAACATCATCGAGGGTAGAAGGATGTATGACCAGCTAAGTCCAATTGGCCCCATCATGTTGGCTCTAACGGCAGCGACCCCTATTTATAAGGGGTTCCTAGCCGATACCGATGTCCGCTGGAACCAAATCAGCCGAGCCGTAGATGATCGAACCCCTGAAGAATTAGGAGAGAAGGTGAGTTCATGCCTACCTAACCTATAAACAACTCAACCGGCTCTAAGTAACTAATTATTGTCAAGCCCCTGAAAAACAGCCGATGGCGCATACCCAAATCGCGTTACGCATCTAACTCCACTTATATAAGCACCGATGAGCGCCTTCGACAGGAGTACTTCGATCCTAACCTTGTTATCGATGAAGATATTAAGGCAGAGCTCCTCGAAGGTGGCATGGACGATCGCCTTGCGACACACTTTGCGCACCTGTTCATCCGAGATCCTATTGTAATCTTCAGTGAAGATCTTAAGGAACTTGATTTAACAAAGGCCGATCATTTCGAGAACATCCAGAGCACCAACTGGCAACATATGCGGTTCAAGCCGCCGCCACCGGGCTCTGATATCGGCTGGCGAGTCGAGTTTCGCCCAATGGAGATCCAGATCACGGACTTCGAGAACGCGGCTTTTGCCGTCTTCATGGTTCTAATAACACGCGCAATCCTAAGCTTCGATTTGAACTTCTATATCCCAATCGTCAAGGTAGATGAGAATATGGAGACCGCTCATGCTAGAGACGCCGTCCTGGAGAAGAAATTCTACTTCCGGAAGAACCCATTCCCGAACAGACAGGTGCGCAGTAGCGCTACGTCCCGTTCGGGTTCGCCCACGGCTAGCCGACCTTCTACACCCTTCGGGCCTGTCGAGGATGAGTATACGCTCATGACGGTCGACGAGATCATCAACGGTTCACAATCGGACGAGCACAGCTTCCCGGGTCTTATTCCCATTGTAGAGAGCTACCTTGACTCCGTGAATGTGGACGTACAGACGCGGTGCGAGCTCTCAACGTATCTCGACCTCATTCGTATGCGCGCCAGCGGTGAGCTCTGGACGGCAGCGAAGTGGATCCGGCACTTCGTAGACAAGCACCCGGGGTACAACCACGACAGCACGGTGACAGACGAGATCACCAAGAGCCTCGTAAGCGCCGTTATAGACATCGGCGATAGGGAGCAGGAAGGTATGGGTTGGAAAGACCTCCCAATCCCCGACGTAGAGCACCTACTCGGGCGGTTTAGAAGCAGCGGATGTGGAGGTTCATAGGCTGAGAGCCGGTCGGGCCAAGTGAGAGGTTCAGACTCCATGCCAGGATGACGTGATATGAACTAGTGGCATGTCGATGTCGTCAAGCAGGTCGACTACGCATGCCTATTTGATCGCTATGGCGTTATGTTGCCGAGGTGCATACACGATGGATTTGTTCGTTGGCGATTATTTTGCCCGTAGATTTCCCCTAGGTATATCCTATACCAAGCATAG